GCTTAAAAACCTGCTGGGGCTGCCTTTTGAGGCAGCAATCTGACCTGAGTTGCTTGCCTTGGGAACACATGTCTCAGAGCTTGTAGTAGTGTTTTGTAACCTGTGCCAGACTTTGTGTCTTGACTGTGTTTCACTGTGTGAAGGTAAGGGGTGGGCCAGGTTTAAGCTTAGATATAACTGACACCTTTCTTGCACACACCATAGTTGTTTTATGTTAGTTTTCACCAGGTTCAGGGGTGCTGTGTGTTTTGGGTTTTTTCAAATTCTGTAGGTTAGTGAGCTTTTGGTTTATTCTTGTTTTTGTTAGTACCTCTGTAGAGCAGTAATCCTCCTTTTGAGGATCTCCTTTTGTTATAATTGTTTGTTGATTTCCACAGCACCCATTGGCCCATCCTCTGTTTGTGCTCCACTTGCGTTACTTCAAATAAATATCCTTTCAAACCAACAACATCTGGTTTATGTTTATGTCCCAATATCCCTAGACACCTCGGGACGTAACAGTAAATAACACTTTGTATGTGAAATTAAAATATGTGTGTACAGAGTAAATTTTACATATTTGCATAATGCACTGTATTTTTGTGGATATGATTTTACACAACACAAATATACATATTTGTAGATAGTGAAATATTTGCGCATCATAGTACATATTTGGATTTTATTATAAAATCTTCCATAGTTTTTGTACATATTCTCATCTGTAAATTATAACATATGAATTTGTAAAATGTAATACAGTTTCTTTCTGTAAATCAAATCTACCTGACAAAAAACACAATTTTGACACTCTTACGTTGTAATTTTTACTGCATTGTATTGTTGTATGTATTCTTACTTTAAAATGAACAGTTGTGTTTGGTTCAGTGTTTTGCAAAATATTTCTGAAACATTACTTCACTGTTTTTTTTATTAACAGTATTTTTATGTCATGATTTTACAGTAATTTACTGTTAATTCCACAGACTTATTTTACAGTGGGCTAAAAAGATTGAAAAAATATGAAATAGAAAAGAGGACTCGGTGATGTGACTGTTTTTTCTCTTGCTCTGACAGGCTAAATGGGTTTCAGTAATGCACACATGTTGTGGGACACAACTTCTGTGCATAAATACTATTCTTTAAAATATGTTCAATAAAATATGTTTCAAAAAATGTTTAAACAATTATAAAAGACATATCAAGAAATGATGATACAAAAAAAGTAGATTTAAAATTTTAACTGTTATATTTGACATGCAAATTGATCATAAAGAAGGAGGGACAAGAGAAAAATGGCATTTTAGGGGGTGCTGGAAAGCTATTTTGCATTATACATTATATTTTGGAGCCACTTTTTCTACAACTATATTTACATTTCGATTCGAATGATTCACACAACAAGTGCATGTTTTAGTATTGTGTACATGTATTATTTATAATTTAATGGGTGGGACAGAAAATGTCCTCCAATTCTGGAATGACCCTTTTAAAAACTCTGAATATTTCTTCAGCAGCAGCAGTTAGTCGCTCGTTGACAAACTCTCTCAACTGAAGACGTTGCTGAATTACAATGAAATAATTAGCGCCGCTCCGACTACAATAACTTCCAGCTAATTCAAAGGAAGCGGCTAACACTGGAACTTGTATTGTTTACTTTCGCCTGATGTCACACTGTTAAGTTCCGACAGCCGAAGTGCAGGAGCTTTTTTTCCCGCTTTTTAACTGATGACATTTTATTCAAAACTTGTGTTTATTATCAGCAGTGGTGGATGAAGTACACAAATCCTGTAGTTGAGTAAAGGTACAAATACATTTGCTAAATATTACTCCACTAAAAGTAGAAGTCTTCAATTTAAATTTCTACTCAAGTACAAAAGTACCTGCTTTTAAAAATACTTCACTATAGCATAAGATATAACTTTATGAATCGCCTGTAGGGAAACTTTCAGTTGACAAAGCAGCTCAAATGAAAATGAAAGAACTGATGTAGTATTATAGAAGTACCAACACACTACTTACACTATACAATCAATAATAATTATTTACAACCATTTACAACCAGATAAATGTCTGAAATTAAATGAAATCAGGAATAGTCTCTCAGTTTGGTGCTGTGGTGTTGTGGAGCCTGATGGCTGATGGCACAAATGAGCCCCCAAAGCGCTTTAAGGCATATATTCCAATTCTCTACTTTTCTGAATACTTTATCCTGTTTATTTTAAAGGTTCCATTACGGTGGTCAATATCAATATTAAAGTTATTGATATTGACCACCGTCCTCCTTCCTTTATATCTTTAACCATACTGCTTTTCTTCATGTAATGTGGTCTGTTTCTCCAAGTGATATTTAAGTTGATTTGATTGATAGCTTGTCATGCTTGATAGTAAAGAAATAATTAGCAGTGGTACGTTTTCTTATTATTTCCGTTTTATGGCGGTTGTAAGCATGATTATTAAAAGGTGCATACCGCCACCTCCTGTACTGGAGTATGTTGGATGGGACTACTTTATATCATCATAATATTAAAAAAATAAATATAAAACCCACTAAATCCTATTATATATCCCTTAATCCTTCAGGAGGTATTGCACAGCATCCTTCTGCGTATCCTTAGTATTTTTTCAAATACTGTACTTAAATACACATTGGAGATACTTGTTTTTTTGAGTATTTTCTTTTCATGCCACTTTCTACTTCTGCTCCACTACAAGGAGATATTATACTCTTTACTTCACTACATTTATCTGACAGCTTCAGTTACTTTACAAAGGAAGATTTTCACACAAAAAATATGAAGAATTAAAAAAAAAAATATGATGATATGAGATGATTAAACTACCCAACAGTTTATACAAGTACAGCTAGTGTATTAGAGGATTGATAGAAATGTAAATGGCAAAAGGCATTTTGATAATCTTTTAATTCATTTTTTATGTTAAAACATTTCATGGTTCCAACTGCACAAACATGAAGATTTGCTGCTTTTTCTTTAGATTATTTTAATGTATTTTTAATCATTTCCAGGTTAATCAGGTTAAGACTGATAAAACAAGCATTGTGAAGGTGTTACTTTGGGCTATGAGCAACTGTGACAAGATTTCCTAATATTTCCATAGTTTTTACAATTGAATCAGCAGATTAATCCATAAAAAAATCATCATTAACTGTTGTATGATCCAAAATAGTTCATCTTTAACCATGTTCAACAGTAAAATCCCGCTGTCACATTATTGCATGAGTAATAATAACCTAATGATGTATTATATAATAGTATAACAGTCACAGGCAACATTTTTCATTCTGCAAAGAGCACTTTCACTTTCAATACAGGGCAGCTCTAGGTCCTCTCCCAGAAAACTTAGAGCATTAACCACTTAATTTCCAGCATTCTGGAGAAATTTTCTGCATCAATTTCTGATGAAAATGTGTTTATTTATATGACGGGAAAGAAAATTCATGTGGCAGGTGACAATTTAAAATATCAATACATAACCGAATATAATGCAGTGAAGTATAATTCATCTGCAGTTGCTCACATTGCATGATGAAAAACGGCAGTTTAGGGGGTATTACCTAATTTCATTGTCTTACTTGCGCTAATGCAAATGTAGCTATGCTGACCCATGTGAGTTCATTTTTCCACAGCCAATGCTGCCTAATCTATGTTAGAAATATACTTTGTTGTTGTCGCATTGAATGAAGACGTGTAATGTAATTTAGCGCAAAAAAGCGTCCGCTTGTTCCATTATCCAACTTGTACAATGAAAAAGAAAGTCTAAAACCGGAAACAGAGACTCACATGGGTCAACATACATTTGCATTAGCTCAAGTAACACAATGAAATTAGGGAATACCCCATAAACTGGCATTTTTCATCAATGTTAACAACTGCAGATGAATTATACTTCACGCACGGACCAGCAATGCACTCTTTTCTTTCTACACTGAACAAAATTATAAACGCACTTTTGAAAACACTTTTGTTTTTGCCCCCATTCATGATGAGCTGAACTCAAAGATCTCAAAGACTTTCTCTATGTACACAAAAGGCCTATTTCTCTCAAATATTTTTCACAAATCTGTCAATCTGTGTTAGTGAGCTCTTCTCCTTTGCCGAGATAATCCATCCACCTCACAGTTGTGGCATATCAAGATGCTGATCAGACAGCATGGGGATTGCACAGGTGTGCCTTAGGCTGGCCACAATATGTGGTGTTTATAATTTAGTTCAGTGTATATTTACATTGCACTGCATTTTTTGCAAATAATCCTTTCTTATTTAACATTTCTTGTTGCAAGCTATTTTTCAGAACAGTCACAAATCAGAATAAACACAAATGCTTTCAAAAAGCACAGACGACTGTAACCTTCTTTATTTGTCATTTCTTCTACAAGGAAAACTTCACAACTTCCACCACAGATGTCAATAACCCTCAAATGTTCAACTTACTTCTTGCAAAGATGTGTGGGCTTCACACAACACTATAAAATACTACTTGATGTAGATGGATTTTAAGCCATTTGAACTTAAACTAAAAATGATTAAGAGATGCTTCATAAAAAGACATCAATGTTTTACAAGAATACAGCTTCTCACCTGTGTGGGTTCTCATGTGGACTTTCAAGCCACCCTTCCGACTAAAACATTTTCCACATGTTTTGCAAGGATACGGCTTCTCACCTGTGTGGACTCTCATATGTTTTATAAATGTTGAAGTGGCACTGAATCTTGTCCCACAGGTCTTGCAAAGGTACGGCTTCTCACCTGTGTGGGTTCTAATGTGGAGTATCAAACCATCCCTCCGGCTGAAAGACTTCCCACAGGTTTTGCAAGAATATGGCTTCTCGCCTGTGTGGATTCTTATATGGAGATTCAAGTGACCCCTATGGCTAAAAGACTTCCCGCATGTGTCACAAGAATACGGCTTCTCGCCTGTGTGAATCCTCAGGTGTGTCCGAAATTCTGACTTGTACTGAAAACCTTTTCCACATGTGTCACATTTGAAAGAGTTTTTACCTGTGTGAGGATCATGGTGAACCTCTGACATGGTAGACTTGTGTACATTGTTTCTGGGGCTTCTGCTGTTGTGATCTTGATTCTTTGTTTTGACTCTGCATCTCTAGTTGATCCTGAGTCTTCATGCTCGCCTTCTTTCTGATCTTGGCTCTCAGCTACATGACAGTTGTGAGAGAGGAGCTGGTGGTCACTTTTCAGTTCTGCTTCACTGTGGTCACTTTCCTCATAAGTAGGAGTCAACATAAAGGTGTCAGTCTCCTGCTTCACTACAAGCTGCTCTCCCTCCTGACTGGTACAGAGTTCCTCCTGTTCCTCTTTAACCTGTGGAGGCTGTGGGTCCTCCTGGTCCAGACCGGGGATCCTCTCCTGAATCCAGAGCTGCTGGTCAGCCAGAACCTCCTCCTCCATACAGACATGTTTCTGTGGGAGCTCTGGAGGGAAAGAGAACAAAAGGAACAGGCTAATGTTAGAACTGTGATGGGAAAGAGAGAAATGCAGACATGCGAGGCTATGAATACGAAACATTTTTGGATAACACATAGACCTACGATTTCCTCTGTTTTACGTTACTTATATAATGAATGTTTCCTCACCTATCCTGTGTAACTTTACTTCGGGTTTCCAAACGATATCCAGCAGTCTGCGCTGACGATCGATCTCTTCCTCGTACTCGACGATAGTGTTTTTAAAAACTCGGAATATTTCTTCAGCAGCAGTTAGTCGCTCGTTGACAAACTCTCTCAAACTCTCAACTGAAGACATTGTTGCTTCATTACAAGTAAAATAATTAGCGGAGTTACGACTACAATAACTCATTCTAGCGAAAGTCACAATTTAAAGACGTTGCAAACACTGGAGCTTGTCTTGTTTACTTCCGCCGGATGTCACACTGTTGCGTTCCGACAGCAGAAGTGCGGGAGCTTCTTCTTCTTCTTTCTTCTTCTTCTTCTTCTTTAGGGTTTAATGGCGGTTGGCAAACCAGTTTAACGGTGCATTACCGCCACAAGCTGGACTGGAGTGTGGAACGAGAGATTAAGCAGGAAATAAATGAAATAAACAATACCAAAAAATAAATAAATAAATAAATTAAATTCTTTTTTTCTAACTCAGTTTCTTTAAGAAACTTAATTATATGACAATATATCTGGCCTGCTGTTTTCCCCAAGACCTGTCAATGAGATATCATGATGTTTTGCCTTCCGTAATGACTGAAAGAGGCGTTCCCTCTTGATAGTGTATCTCCTACACTGAAGGAGAACATGTTCAACCGTTTGGTTACAATAACATTTCCCAGTTGGGTGCTTACCTATTTATAATGAAAGGTTGAGACCTGTATGTCCTATTCTCAGACGAGTGATTATATTTTCTTCCCTACGTTTCCGCGCCCACCTTCCTTCCGGCACCAACCTGTCTCTGTACATTATATAGGTGCCTTCCAGTTTCACTATTGTCCCAATGCTCCTGCCAAACTGACTGTGCATAGGTCCTGATAAATGTCTTAGCTTCATCTTTAGTTAATGGGGTTTTTAGGTCTACATGTTTGATTTTGAGTGTTCCTTTGGCCAGAATATCCACCTGCTCATTTCCCTCCACACCAACATGAGCAGGAACCCAAAGGAAGCATGTGGATAAACCCTTTAGCTCCATCCTGTACAATATAAGGAATATGTCATTGAGAATATTGGATCTAAATGATTATTTGCCAGATTTAATACTCATTAGAGCAGACAAGCTATCAGATGCAATAACAGTATTATTTGTTTCCCTCTTTCTATCCACTGCAGGGCCAGTACTATTGCAGTCAACTCTGTGGTATACACTGAGACATGATCTGATATTCTTTTCTTGATATATGACTCACTTGCTGGGATAAAGACTGCTGCACCTGCACGCCCTGTATCAGGATCTTTGGAGCCATCTGTGAATATAAACATGAAGTCTGAAAAATGTAAATCAAAGTAATTCTGTACTATACTGCATGCTGGAAGTTTCTTTGACATATCCTTCAATTCCTGCTGTATGTTTAGATCTACAATTGGTGTTGGGAATAACCAGGAAGGAATGGAAGACTGTGACACTGTAGGGCTGTAGTCTAATTGTCGTAATCCTATGACTTCTGCCTTTGCATCACCAATCCACCCAAAACTTGTGAAATTTGTCTGTGTTCCCAGCAATCTATTAAGAGACTCTTGGCAGGATGAGAATCACATTGCCCCTGGAGATTAACCCAGTATGCCAACATTAGCTTTACTCGCCTGATTCTTAACGGCATTTCTCCCATTTCCACCTGCATTGCTGACACCGGAGATGTTCTGACTGATCCACTGCAAATTCTCAAGGCCTGAGCTTGTAATACATCCAACTTCTTAAGGTTTGATTCTGCTGCTGACATGTACGCTACACATCCATAGTCAAAAACGGATCTCATGAGTGCCCAGTATATATTTTGTAGAGCTGCTCTGCTTGCTCCCCACTCTTCTCCTGACAGACAACGAAGTATTGATGACCTTTTTACACTTGTTCTTAACTTTATCTAAATGAGTATTCCAGGTGAGCTTCTCATCAAACCAAACCCAAGAAATTGAATTGTTTTGACTTGCTCAAGTGGTTGTTCATATAACTTCAAGGAAATAGGCGTGACTTTATGCCGCCTTGAGAAACAGATCACCTGTGTTTTTGCAACAGATAACTTGAATCCCTATTTATTTGCCCATTTTTCCACAGCAGCTATTGCAGCTTGCATTTTCTTACTGACGTGCAACACATTGCGGCCTCTTACCCACAGAGCCCCAGTGTGGTAGCTTTTCGTTCCGCTTTTAATTTATGACATTTTATCCAAAACTTGTGTTTATTGTCAGCAGTGGTGGGTACACAAACTTCTCCATTTTAGGTCTTTGTTTTTGTCGTTTTAGTCTGGACGGGAGGTGCAAACGCAGCAAAAGGTTTCCGTTTTAAACGCAGTAGTGTGGATGGGGCCTTATTGACATTATTTATAAACTGTAAACTGTTTCCTCGTTTGTCCTGGTCGCTGTTTACATTCCACCTCAGGCCTGTGTTAGTGAGGGGTTACGTCACCTGGCCGACCAGATAACTAACGTGGAGAAAACACATCCAGACCCTGCTCATTGTTCTTGGGGACAAAAGAGCAAACCTCAGCCATTAACACCCAAAGTACAGACAGCATATTAAGTGTCCCACCAGGGACACTAACTGGACAACTGCTACACAACATTAAAGGACGCCTATCGCTCTGTTCCCCGTGCAGCCATAGGACTCCCTGATCACTGTCTGGTTCATCTTATCCCAACATACAGGCAAAAACTGAAATCTGTTAAACCCATTGCAAAGACTGTGAAAAGATGGACTAACTAGTCAAAGCTGGATTTACAGGCCTGCTTTGACTGCACTGACTGGAGTGTTTTTGAGGCTGCAGCCACTGACCTGGACGAACTAACCGGGAGAGACCTAAGCCCTCCAGGCGTTGCCTCTCAGAGGAGCAGGTAACTCCTGATCCCCCGCCTGAGAGAGAGCGTTCCCCCTCCAGGAGAGTTTCCACGGGTGCCCCGCCAGCAACCGCTGGAGACAGGGAAACCAGAATGCGCTGGTGCACTCCGGGGCCACCAGAGTCACCGCCAAGGTTGAAAACTGCAGCCGATCTAGAAGGTGCGGGATCAGCTACACTGGTGTGTCCACTCCCAGCAGGGGGACGTCCCTCGGGCTCAGTGAAAACCAAAGGGCACACTGAGCGTTCTCCTTGTTGGCAAACAGATCCACCTCTGCCCTGCCGAACCGGAGCCTCGGTATGATGTCCGCCCCGCTTTTCAGCAAGCCAGGGATGTATTCTGCTCTGATGGAGAGCAGGTGAGTGTGCACAGGAGCATCCACCAGACCCAACCTATCCTGGCGGTTTATGTAGGCTGCAGACCAGCACATGCTGATCCCGCCCCGCTGAGGGGAGAAATGTCAGATCACCATCCACACCGTGAGGAGCTCCAGCACGTTTATGTGTAGAGGCCTGCAGCCCTGCCTCAGACCACTCACCAGGCATTGAGTGAAAGGCAGGGTACACTGTGGACAGGTCACCAGTCCATCACAGGGCCACACACACAGACAAACACGCAGAGTCACCAATTAACCTAGTCCACGTCTTTGGACTGTGGGTGGGAGGAAGCCGTAGAGAACCCACACAGACACAGGGAGGACATGCAAGAAAGGCCACACACAAGGGCCGGGACGACCAGGGTTTGAACCCACGACCTTCTTGCTGTGAGAAGACAGTGCTAACCACCAACCACCATGACTCCCCAGACATGGATAATAGTGGAAGGAAATATTACAGAGTGCAGAAATCTATCGATGCACACGGTTTGACTAGAAGGAACATGATAGAGTTTGAATCAGAATGAGGTTTGATCACAGAGGCTTAAAGAAAGTCATTGTTTTTATTAAGTAAAAGTCAATCAGATGAATGTTTGGAGTTAAAAATCACAGAGTGTAGAACATATACTGAGAGGATGAGGCTAAATCAGAAGATAAGTCAGGCAGGAAGGAAATGAAACCATCAGGATTTATTACAACAATGGTG